ATTTATATAAATATATACATATATATATATGTGTGTGTGTGTGTGTGTGTGTGTGTGTGTGTGTGTGTGTGTGTGTCCACATCTGTAGCCTGTTATTGTCTCATTATACCGCACTGTGAATGAATTAAAAGTAAATATACAGTATAAGTCGTCATGAACACATCTGTCCATCCGACAGAGGGCTGCTGTGCCTCCTGTCATCATTAATGGACGTCTCTTTAAAATGACCGCTCAGAGGAGAGGAGTTCTCATTTCTCTAACCGCCTGCTGCTTCCCCTCCTCTCTCCTCCGCTCGCATCTCCTGTGGACGGGACTAAGTCTCGAGGATAGGAGTCGAGTCGAGGAGGGGAGTTAGAGAAATTAGAAAGGGCCTATGTGTTGGAGCGCTAAGCCAATAGAAGCATAAGTGTTACGTAGTGGTGTCACTATTTAATGAAAGTAAACAAAAGAGTCCAATGGAGGCGTTTCAGGCAGGGGGGGAGATTGTGTGATAGAAATTCCTTCTGGAGGGAACACAGGGATTTTAGCCTTGGCAGACCATTTACATGCACAAAAACATAACACACAGGAAAGGGAAGACCAAAAAAAGCACAATAGGGCCTCATTAATACGATGCAGAAAATACCTCTACACAATTAGATATGGAATGCATCAAGTGATGAGGACCACTTCGATCAACAACATGAAGTCATCTTAGAAAATATAAATATTGTATTAAATAAAGACTGATGTAATATACACCATTTTGTATATACAACTACAACAAGCATACCAAGACATTTGAAATTCAAAAAACTGACAGTTCGCTTTAAAAATGACATATTGTGAATTAAAGCAGTGTCTCACCATCTGGAGAGAGTCCAGGAGTCGGGTGAGCTGGTAGAACCTCTGAGGACGATTGTTGGCCATCCCATAATTAATGAGGCGATCGAGCTCGTTGATGTAGGTGAGGCGCAGCTCATCGAAGTACTTCTGACTCTTCAGACCCTCAACAGGAACTGGAGAAAAAGACAGTAATGGTTAAGACTAAAACCTTGACATTTGTTTGGGGTAAGGTACATGTTGATGCCCAGGACACAGAGCTTACGGATGCTGAAGAGCAGCAGCGCCTTCATGCAGAGGAACTCTTCGTGAGTGATCTGCAGCAGCAGCAGCTCCTGGGAGAGATGTCTCATCCGTATGCAGTGCTCATACATGCTGGAAACGTGCATCCGATTCCTGCGGGTGTGAAAAGGTCAGGGTGACAAATGTGAAATAAAGTAAATTTTCCAACCATGAGAGGCGGACGAACAAATTGCCTTACACCTCGGACATTTATTCTGTAATGAGTAACTTCTGCAGAGGTAAAAATGTCAGAGGTGGGCTCCGTATCCTTTAATGGTGTAATGGGAACATTTATGAAAATACAGATCTCTGCTGGGTGATCTTTGACATTTGGAGCAAGATGTTGAAAACCCACAACTCTGTAACACTAGAATCTAGTACTCTAATTGGCTGTAAAGTTCAGTAGTGTTTTAGTAATTAAAGTGCAATATTATAAGAAGGGATATTTCATGTTCATCTTGCCTGAACAATCTTCAGTTATTTCAATAAGCTCGGGAGAAGACGAGAATAGACATCGTGATCAAGGTGCGCTTTCTCTGTTCAGTCTAATGAAATGATTCTGCGTTATTATGAACAATGAATACGAGTTTTTATCATATTCTAAGGCTGTGAAGAAAGAAATGAATGTTCTCCATCCCTCTGGAAATGGAGGCAGAGTTACGCAAACTATTTGAAACGTTTCTGGATAAGTACATATGAGCAAATTGTGAAAGGCTAATGCTTGGGTTTAAAAAAGGTCAACTAACTTTTCGTCTTGCAACATTTTTGAATTTAAAGATGATTCTGTGAAAAACCTCCAAGATCCAACTTAGAAAATGGGTACAGCGATTTTATTTACTATGATTAAAGATGCAGTCTGTATTAATTGTTAATATTTTAGTAGCACCTGAATTAATTAAGGGATCTATAGTGATCAATAGTTCTCATGTAGCTGTTTCCTTTAAGTTCTCCGACAGCTAAACCCGTCTGTATGACAACCTGCTTCTGTAAACAAACCTAGACTCAATTTCTCACAGCACGTCTCTTTTATCACATGAAAAAGATATTTAAACTAAAAACAATTAAATTAATTAAATTCTCTTTTCTGTTTCTTTAATTGTATTTATTTATTCCTCTTAATATGTAGAAATGTTAAACCTTCAGTCTAAATTAAATTATACAACATAGTCTGTTAAAATCGAGTTTAGTGCGACAGTCAGCAAATAATCATGCGTCATTGAGAGCTGCGTGATCAGTGCTTTTGCAAAATGGCTTTTTTATTTATATAAATCTGCTTGATTTATACTATAAAGATGCAATGGAATTAGTTGATTAGCAAAATATAACACTTGTGAAATATGATTAAATAAATGATTAAAGGCGCACTTCACTGAATACATCAGCAGGTTAAGTACACTGACTGTGGAGTTAATTTTGGTTGTTTATTCATTTATTTTCTATTTATTTATTTCAATCATGAAGCATTAATATACTGGTTTAGTTGTGCAGATTGTCATGCAAAATAGGTCTCAGTTGGGAGGGAACCTTGGTTCCAATATTTTGTTTCCCTTGGGACTCATTTGATGAGGGACCGTCAGCCATCTTAAAAAGGGCCACTGAAATGTTTGTCAGTCATGTTTTGATCAGCCACAGGGCACACGGGCAGCCGGTGAGTGTTTGGTTTAAAGAGCAACTTGCAGGTTTTTTTTTTTACTACATTTATGCTTAACCTTGCCTGAAAATTACAATTAAAAATGTTAATGCAGGATTTGATATGTTTTACAAGACATAAGGGCAGGAATTCAGTGGAAAAGGAGCCGTTTTGAGCTGTGCTTCTAAAAACTGCTTTTTTTTAACGTCAAACGCGTCATATTACGTCACATGGGGTAGTTAACTTTCTCGGACTCGTTCTCTGCCCAATCCGCGGTAGTAGTTTGTAGTTGGTTTGAGCGGTTGTGATTTAGTGAGCTGGTATTTTTTCGGTAATTTTACATTGCATTTCACGATTTGTAATCATGGTGAGCTTGTGTTTGTGCAGGTTGCACAAACTCAAGCCTGTCAGGGCATCGAGTCCACAGTTTCCCTCACGGGAAAAGGACCGGAGCTAGCGTTCGTTCCTGGGTGCGTTGTGCATCCACCTCCCTGCAGCACATTCTCCGTCTCCACAGCTTTATCAAGAAACCGTATTACATCTCTCTCCCCCCCTTCGCTGCTCTCTCTCTCCCCCCTTCCCTGCTCTCTCTCCCCTCCGGTACACGGCACCGTAAGACTAATAGATAAGACTGATAAGACTAGTGTGGAGTTGCATTAGGTAACGCTGTGGTGGCTGTACTGCTCCAGCCGTCTCCTTTGTGTTTGTTTGTTTCCCCCTGTCGTGTTGTTTGTTTGTGGCGTGGTGGCTGTCACTCCTGGCTCCCGGCTCAACCTCCACTCACCTGCTGCAATCAGCTGTGCACCCTCCCCGACTACACACCTGCTTTCCATCAAGCCATTTACAACGGCATATCAACGGAGGCTCCACAACCTTTCTCCGCCAGATCGTCAAGTATCAGCCGTATCTCGCGTCTCCCCTCCGGTACACAGCACCGTAGTGTGGAGTTGCATTAGGTAACGCGAGATACGGCTGATACTTGCGCATTAGCTTCTGTTATGGATCAGTATCAACAGTCCTGCCAGTAACGTTACTATATTATCAATACTACTTTAGTTATAGCCTGATATATGATAGCTAACTTTACAATGTTGTGATGTGACTGACGTTAGCTAACATGCTAACGCCGGTCACTCACCAAGACAGCTGCTCAGTTCTCCACTGGTTCTCACACCAAAGCTCCATTTCTCTCCGATGGCCGTTATTTTTTCTAATCCTTGGCTGCTCCTGGTCTCTTGGACGCCTAGCAGGCTCATAATTATAATCATATGCATTCGAATATATATTTTCAACCTCTTCTGTGTATAAAACTAGCATTGTGATCCATGTTTATTCATACGTTAGACCGGCCGCTCTCCCCCTTATTTCCCCCATGTTACGTCACACGCGGGAGGTCACGTGCGGAGGCTTTTTTATGCGGAAGTGAAAATGTCTTACTAAAACGACGCCAGATGTCACTGTAGTGTATATTTCTGTATATTTTTGGGAAAATCTAGTGTATTCATCATTTCCCTACACATTTATTCACAGGTGTCTCTAACCTGGAAGTTGCTCTTTAAGAAAAAGTAGAAATACTATGAACTTGATTACAAGTTAAAGTTAGGAATCGGAAATGTGACTTGAGTAGAAGTACAGAAGAGTCAGTCAATTGTAATCCAAATATCAAACTAAAAGTACTCATATTGCAGAATTGTCCTTTAACAGTATTGAATTAGCAAAGTATTTTAGAATATTATAATTGGTGTTTTTATCCCCCGTGTACTATTTGCAATGTTAAGCAATTGTTCAAGTACTCTTGTTGCCAAAGTAGCACAGTAATGTATCCATGTCGATATCAAGTGATTTATATGT